TACTACCTTCTAATTTTGGGGAAATAGTTTGAGGCACTAGTCTCCACCCACAATTAACAACCAGATCAGCACGCAAAGGTTCGCGCGAATGAAATGGCCTCTGAGGTGCTATTACTGAGACTGAGCAGTAAAAATCGCATTTGAGCAGAAGTAATAATTTGCGGTAGAGGAGGAAATTACGTTTGCTGTCCAGAACTATCTACCATCTTTAAAGGCCAGAATAAAGCAAAACACGCCCGGGAATGAAAACGGCTGTTTTCTTCGAGCAAAAATGACCCACAAAGTACGCTGTTTTGAATAATTGTTTAAAATGTTTTATGCCCAAAGGCCCCGAAGCAGGCCGCCCGATGTCCATAACCCCCTCTGAAGATGAACAGATGACACTGAAGGCAATTCTCTCACCCCCAACCCCACCCCAGCCTAGCTACAGCATGCTTTTTAAATCTTCGCCCTCATATTTCAGCTATTGCCGTACAGCAATAAAATGTACAGACCTGAAGAGAATGTATCGAAGGCAGAGGTATGCTGGCCAAAGCCTCTTTTGGACTTTAAAATAGTTCGAAAGGAAAGACCTTAATCCCGGATATGTTAAACAAAAAGATTATAGGCACAGCTCTTCGCAAGGCTGGTTAAATTAACGTTTAACTGAGTTTTCTACTCGTCTAGCCGATATAAGTTTCCAGTAAACCCAATTTTACGGCTTCTATAAGATAAAACGAAACGTTGGTGCAGCATAAAAGACGAGTTTAGAGTGGAATGTGAAAGCGCTAAGAGGCGGGAAAGTTCTTTTGAACATACTGTTAAAAATAACTTCTCCAGATGGCGTGTACTGGCTTGTCGCGTGTAAAATAATAAAAAAAGCAGTGACTGTTCAGGTCAGTTTGCGTGCAATACTCAAAGGGAAGCTCTCCTCTTTGTTGGAAGTTGTCCGCGGTCTAATTGGAAATAAACCGTCACATACGAGGGGGGGATATGGGTAGCAAACGTTCAGCGTTCAACAAACACATCCATGGATTGTTTAAGTTCAGCGATGATACCCATTTAAGCATTCAAGAAGTCAAGAAAGGCGAACGAATGTTTTCGATTAATTCATCATCAGGCGTGTACAATAATATA